TTTCTGAATTTTCTGAATTTTGATTTCAGTGTTTTGATGTTGGATTTTTATTGCCATGCTTTTAGATATGTTCTCGAGCATGAGTTATGATATAATTGATGTGATTGGTTGATGTTTGAATAGTATGCTGAGTGATTACATGCTATTTGTAACTTGATATGATTGATGTTTAAATAGTATGCTGAGTGGTTACATACTATTCATATCCTGTTATGTTTGATATTGTTGATGTGCATGATATGTTGAATGATGTTCATAGTATGCTGAGTGTTACATACTTACATATCATGTTGCATTTGTTAATTCCCATTGTGTGGAATTAACATGGTGGCCAATATACGTGTCCGCGATTTAATGGAACGTTGAGGTGGTAGCCGTGTCCGCGATATAATGGAACGGTGAGTTATCCGTGACCCGCGATATAATGGGGCGGTGTAGTGGTACCACATGCATGGGTGTGTTGCATTACTCGAATATAACATGAATGGATGATTTTTCCAATGTTATATTTGATTGTTTGTATGCACGTGTGATTGATATATGGTTGATGATGTTGATGGGTATTTGTAAATATGAAAAGCAATATGTCATGGATATATGATTTGTAAAGGTTTTGTAAACTATGAAATATGTTAATTATTGGGTGATGCTTATGATTTCGTGAATTGATTGTTATGAATGTATAACCAAATGTATATTTGAGAAGCTCACCCTTACTGTTGAATATTTCAGATTGAGGAGCTTCGCTCAGGTGCTTGGCGAAGGCTTATCGTGTCTAGTTTAGTTTTATTCTAGTATGTCCGGGTCATGCTCTGATAGTTGTAACTCCGGGAACGTTTGGTTGTCGAGCTGCTTTAGTCAGACTCGTTTATTTTCTTTTAATTGTTATAATAAGATGTTGACTTTCCAGGTGTTAATCCCTGATGATTTTGGAAAATATTATAACGTTTGATTTTATTAATTAAAATTTTCCGCTGTGTAAACATGTATGAGTTACCACTAAGATTATGCATGACAGGAATTATTTTATTAAAAGAGAATTGTAGCATTCCTCGATTATTACATGTACTCTGAGTTATAATTTTTAATATTTGCGAAAATTATATGCGGGTTTTAGAGGGTGTTACAATTTGTCTATTCAAGAATAATATTCTGGTTTTTTAAATCTCTGGGCAGAACACTCTGCTATTATACATGCTAATGTTCCCAAGACCTCTCTCGCGGTTGTTCAAGAGGTTTACAACACAAGTGGTCGAGATCAATTTCTCATGAAATTACGCCCAGAATTTGATGTTGTCAGAGGTGCCTTGCTGAATAGAAATCTTGTTCCTTCTTTAGATACATGTGTTGGAGAACTCCTAAGGGAGGAACAACGTCTTATTACTCAAGGAGTCATGTCTCATGATGCTACCATTTCCGAGCCCGTGATGGTTGCATATGCTACTCAAAGTAAAGGTAAAAATCATGATATGAAACAGGTTCAGTGCTTCTCTTGCAAACAATTTGGTCATATTGCTCGTAGCTGCAATAAGAAGTTTTGTAATTACTGCAAGCAATAGGGTCATATTATCTCTGAGTGTCCCACACGTCCTCCACGACCAACACAACGTTCAGTACAGGCATTCCATGCAAATCATGCGGTTGGTCCTTCCACTAATGGGGCATCAAACGATAGTGCTATACAACCTGAATTGATTCAACAAATGGTACTTTCCGCTCTCTCGGCCTTGGGTATTCAGGGTAAGTCTTCTAATGTTTCTCGCCCATGGTTTCTTGATTCGGGTGCATCCAATCACATGACAGGTTCTTCAGAGTATTTGAACAATTTACACTCTTATCATGGTAATCAGAAAATTCAAATAGCTGATGGTAATACTTTATCTATTACGGATATTGGCGACATCAACTCTGATTTTCGGGACGTGCTTGTATCACCTGGACTTGCGTCTAATTTATTATCTGTTGGTCAATTGGTAGATAAAAATTATGATGTTAACTTTTCTCGTGATGGTTGTCTTGTGCAGGAACAGGTGTCGGGGAGAGTGATCGCGAAGGGGCCTAAAGTGGGAAGAATGTTTCCACTCCAGTTTATTTATAATCATATATCTCTTGCTTGTAATAATGTTTTGAACTTTTATGAGGATTGGCATAGAAAATTAGGTCATCCAAACTTTGTTGTTTTGTCCCATTTATTTAAAAATGGTTTGTTGGGAAATAAAAATGTTTCTAATGCCCCTATTTCATGTTCTGTTTGCAAATTAGCTAAGAGTAAAACACTTCCTTTTCCGTCTGGTGCTTATCGTGCTTCCACTTGTTTTGAAATGATTCATAGTGATGTATAGGGTATGTCTCCTGTAGTTTCTCATTCTCACTATAAATATTTTGTCACATTTATTGATGATTATAGTCGTTTTGTTTGGATATATTTCCTTCGGTCTAAATCTGAAGTGTTTTGTGTGTTTAAGAAATTTTTAACATATGTTGAAACTCAATTTCAAGCAAGTGTTAAAAAATTTCGCTCTGACTCTGGTGGTGAGTACATGTCTCATAAGTTTCAGGAATACCTTCAACAAAAAGGCATCTTGTCGCAACGATCTTGTCCCAATACCCCTCAACAAAATGGTATTGCAGAACGGAAGAATCGTCATTTGCTTGATGTAACACGCACATTGCTTCTCCAAGATTCAGTACCATCCCGATTTTGGGTAGAAGCTCTTTCCACAACTGTCTTCTTGATCAATCGTCTTCCTTCTACGGTTATTGAACTTGATTCTCCTTTCTTTCGTCTTTTTAAAATTCATCCTGATTATAGTGCTTTACATACTTTTGGGTGTGTGTGTTTTGTTCACTTACCTCCTTTTGAAAGGCATAAGCTTGGAGCACAATCAGTTCAATGTGCATTTATGGGATATAGTCACTCTCATAAGGGATTTGTGTGTTATGATGTCACTAACCATCGTTTTCGCATTTCTAGAAATGTGACATTTTTTGATAATCAGTTTATGTTTCCCTGTGTTTCTCCTGCCATTAATGATATTGTTACTCTTCCTAAGTTTTCTATTATGCCTCAATGTATAGAATGTTATAAACCAGGTCATGTATATGTCAGAAAACACAGACAGCAGGTTCCCACACCCCTTCCCGACGCTGAACCGCCACCTGATCCTGTACCGGTTGAACCACGGCGTTCTGGTCGAATATCTCGTGCACCAGATAGATATTCACCAGACAGGTATGATTCCTCACATACTACTCTGACTGCCACACTCTCTAGCATATCTATTCCTACTTGTTACTCACAGGCTGTTAAGGATGTGCGATGGATAAAAGCAATGAATGAAGAGCTTCAAGCTCTTCAAGAGAATTTCACATGGGATATTGTCTCTTGCCCTCCCGATGTAAAACCTATAGGTTGCAAATGGGTGTATTCTGTGAAATTAAATTCTGATGGGTCCCTCAATCGTTACAAGGCTCGTTTGGTTGCGTTAGGAAACAAGCAGGAATATGGAATTGATTATGATGAGACATTTGTGCCGGTTGCCAAAATGACAATTGTCCGCACGATCATCTCTATAGCTGCTTCTAGTGGTTCGACTCTTCATCAAATGGATGTGAAGAATGTTTTTCTTCATGGTGACCTGAGAGAAGATATTTATATGACTCCACCTCAAGGCTTATTCTCGTCATCTAAAGGCGTGTGTAAGCTCAAACGCTCCTTATATGGTTTGAAACAGGCACCTAGAGCATGGTACGAGAAATTCCGCTCCACTCTACTTGGATTCTCCTTTATTCAGAGTCAGTATGATTTATCTTTATTTATTCATAGCACATCTACGAGTATTGTTCTGCTTCTTTTATATGTTGATGATATGGTTATTACTGGTTCGGATCATGCTTCCATTCAGCGACTTAAGCAACAGTTACAAGCCTTATTTCACATGAAAGATCTGGGTAATCTACATTATTTTCTTGGTCTTGAGGTTCATTCTACATCCAAGGGCATCTTTCTCCATCAACACAAGTATGCTACAGATTTGATTTCTATGGACGGTCTAGAATCGGCTAACCCGATAGATACTCCTCTTGAGGTTAATATTAAATATCATCGTGATGATGGTGATCTTTTGCCTGATCCCTTATTGTATCAACAACTTGTGGGCAGCCTCAACTACTTGACTATTACTCGCCCTGACATATCTTTTGTTGTTCAACAAGTAAGTCAATTCATGCATTCTCCTCGTCATCTTCACTTGGCTGCGGTTCGTCGTATAATTCGCTACTTAAAGGGAACCTCTCACCGCGGATTATTCTTTTCCGTTGGAATTTCTCTTCAGTTGAGTGCTTATAGTGATGCTGATTGGGCAGGGTGTCCTGATACTCGTTGATATGTTACTGGTTGGTGCATGTTTCTTGGTTCTTCATTGATCTCTTGGAAAAGTAAGAAGCAAACAAGAGTTTCTAAATCTTCTACTGAATCAGAGTATCGTGCCATGTCTGCTGCTTGTTCAGAAATACTTTGGCTTCGTGGTCTTTTGGCTGAACTTGGATTTCCCCAAACAGAGTCAACTTCACTTTATGCTGACAATACAAGTGCCATTCAAATTGTTGCAAATCCTGTTTTTCATAAGCGCACCAAACATATCGAAGTTGATTGTCATTCAATACGTAACGCCTACGATAATCGAATAATATCACTTCCTCACATCAGTACTCAGTTGCAGGTTGCAGATATTTTTACCAAGGCTGTTCCACGCCCACGAGATCAGTTTCTTGTTAACAAATTGATGCTCCTTGACCAGCCGCATCAATTTGAGGGGGAATGTTAATAAGGAAATAATCAAACACATTTATTGTGAATAATTTACATTCATAGAATAGGAAATTGCCATTATAAGTTGTAATTAGTTATTATGAGTTGTAATTAGTCATTATGAGTTGTAATTACCGACACTATTATATATAGTATCAAATGCAATGAGAAATGCATCAAACCAGAATTCATGACAGATGAAGGTTTCTCTGAAGCGATCTTGAGGATGATGAGAAGCTTCTTGAAAGCTTTATTGATGAAAAGAAACGTTAGGCTTCTCTTAAGCGTTTTTCTTAGGTTTCTTGATTTGGAGGTGGAAGGTGGAGAGATGAATCATGAAGCGAGTGATACCATATTGAAATTCAGTCTCTCAATGTATGTTTTTCATCATCAATTCCGTTACAAGTGTCACTTAGTTATATAGTGACTCAGTTGCATCATCTTAACCGACTCTAGTTTTCCTTTCCTATTGTATCTTCATATTTCCGATGTATATATACTCTATTAACAAATATAGGCAACCAACCATAGATATATATTTTTACCTTAATTTCCAACAGATTTATAAATAACTACTTTTAGCTCATACTCACTCTTTCGAACCGTCTCCTTTCTTTTACCGATCTGTAAAGAGAATAAAGAAATGTTCAAAGCAATTGAAATTCTGCAAAAGCCAATGTTCAATTTTTATTTTATCAACATTCCACGTACTCTAAACAACAACAAAAATTTCTTTACACTTCTTTCCAAAACTAATAAAGTAAAGAAATTGATAGAATAAACCACGAATTTAGTCGCTATTGAGTATCACTCTCTCTTTTCAATTTAGTCAATATAGTGTATGAAACCTGTCAATTTAGTCTACGCTATTTAGATGTTAAAGATTAACATAACAAATTTTCATAAAACAGTAAGGACTAAATTTACGGATTTCATATTTAAGGACTAGCTACATTTTTATATTCTTTAGGAACTACATTAAAACACTAGTAGATCAAGAAAAATAGGACAAGTATGAGTCCACCGATATTAAAACATGATTAGTCTAAAAAAAATTATGTTAATTTGAAAGAGTCTCTCCATGAGTTAAAAAGTTTAACTTGAAAAATGAAACTATTATTGCAGGAGCAAAATTTCACAAAAGATAGAACTTGGTTTATTCTTTTGCACAAAAGTTAGTTTCTCTAATATATTTTACAAAATTAAAAAAAAAAAAAAATCAAGTTGAGGTATGAACAATCGGATGTGATTTTTTTTTACAAGCAATGAATGAATTATCATGTGTACGGTAGAAAAATAGAAATCAATACAAGAAAAATTTGAGAGAGTAAACAGAATAAAAAGGAAATCATGTGATTTTTTTTACCTGATTTTGAATACTTTGTGCATACTAGTTCAAGTAGCGAGCATAAAGAGAATATGTTAATTAGCGTTCACTGCAATTCAAGTAGCAAGTCTCAAGATAATAAGTTAGCGTTCACTGCAATTCAAGTAGTGCTTCAATAATTCACAAACTTTACAGCTTGCTAGCTAGTGATTTATTTAATGCTTCAATTATTAGTCTCACTTTACCAACTTTAAAGTGTAAAGAAAATCAACGGTTATAATTTGGGGGATAAAAGATAGGGATTATTATATATTATAGACTAGATTAGTGCTCTCACTATTTGGTCACTTTTTCCCATTCACGTTTCATATATTATCTAGAAAAAGAAAAAAGAAAAAAGAAAATTTTAAAAAGAAAAAATAAAAAGAGAAATTTATTTAGAAAATAAAGTCTCACTAGCATCAACTAGTAGAAGAGTGATGATTCTAACATGAGGTTCCGTAAAAAATCGATATGACAAATCATTATCAATTTCATGTTTTGCTAGGAAGTCTACACTATCGACATTTCGAATCAATCCACCAAAACTCGAGACGTCGGGATTACCGAGGCTATTGCCGTCAACATTCAATATCACACTACTACCTTTGTTTGCATTTCATGTGATCGTTCTCGTTGGATGAGACATATTATGCTTCAGAAAACATTTAGCTAAAAGATTAGCATAATTCACTATGATGAGTTTCAAAGTATAGGAATATTCAACTTCATTCGCAAGACACTATTTGTTCCTAGCATGCCACAACAACCAGCAAGCAGCCAAAAAGATAGAGTTACCATTGATGTCATGTCTATTCCAATCCAATAATATAATATATCCCCTTTGAAGAATAACGGGTCCAAGACGCCAATGGATTTCAAAAAATGAGAAGCAAATTCACAACCTCTCAAGTAGAGTAGAGTCGTTTCAACATTCTGATTGCATCTAGAACATACATTTGTCTGGAGCAGACCACAATTGCACAACAGTGATTTTGTAGGAAGAGACTCAAGTAAAGTCGTCCAAAGGAAGAATTTCCCTTTTTAAGAAGCAAGAATATGCCACACCTACTTCCAGGAGTTATTGTCACTTGTATTTTGAACAAATATAAGTCTGTCGAGCCAGTTATAACCATCCTGAGTAGTATAAATACCATCTAAATTTCCTTTACAGGTTAACTAATCAGAACCCGAGAATTCAAACAAATGGAAAGTGCTTTTAGGCGATCACAAACAATCGGAGGAATATTAGTATATAATGACTTGAAGTTCTAATTTTCATCCATGTAAACATCATTCACTCATAGATATCCACATAGAGAACCTGCTCCGCTAATTTTCCTACCCCCGTACCAATTGGAAAACAGATATAGGAGCTCTCATCCCCCAATCTAAATAAAACCCATCTTTAAGAGCTGAGAAAGCTTTCATAATTTTATTCCAAGTAAATGATCTCAGTTTATTTTTCATATTGTGCAATATTTCCTCATTGATGTACTTATGCTTTAAAACTTGTACCCATATATAGTTACAATCTCAGTGGAGATCCAAAGCCAACTTACCCAACAGAGGTATTGGCCTCTCTTACTTTCTGGATCCCAAAAGCATCCATCATTTTGGGCTTAGTGATTTTATTCCAGCCAACAAGATGTGCATCAAAGTTTGAATTACCTTTCCATGAAAAATCTTTGGCCATCATATCAATAAAACCACAAGATGGTTGAGGTATCCAAGCCACTTGCATATAATAATTTAGAATGAAGTTCAGGGCATACCTAACCAGAGTCAAACAACCAGTCTTATTTAATGATTTATTTTTCTAAGATGATAACCTCTGACTGATTTTCTCTTGTAGGAACACAAAGTCATTGCATTAAATATAATCATACAACATAGGGAAACTCAAGTACTTCTCTAAAGTAAGATTTTTCTTGATACTTGTCCCGAGACAATTAAATTCATTTTACTTCTCTTAGTGGTAATGGAGAATAACATATTTGATTAAGTAACATTCTCTTTAAGGCCAGAAAACATGATAAAAAGATTCAAGGTATTCACTGCAACAAAACGCCATACATTAACACCAAAGTCACCACGGTCCTACCAAACACCATGGTGACATCTCTAAACTCAGGCGTGAACTTTTTCTTTTTTAATTAATAATTGTTAGTGTGATCGGTGGAAATAGAACTGACTGTTTTGGAATGCTGGTTCGCGAAATGTCGCGGTAAGCAAGAGTCGCCACCATCTTTTATTTTCTCCAACAAGGAAAGGACAAAAGCACAGCAAAATTCCTTTTCGAGATGTTTCTCGGTTCGGGAGGTAGATTATAGAAAGGGAAGGTGTTAGCACCCTTTCTATTTGTGGTTATCCACGGGCTCTTAGGTACTTGCTCACTATGTTTTCAAAAATGTTTTGCTTTTCTTGTGTATGTGGGTTTTGAAAAAAGTTTCGTTTTGAAAACTTCTAGGTAACTCTTGTATCAGTCCTCAAGAGTGTATGAAGTATTTGTTTGAAAACTTTTTGAAAGTGTAGGTGCGAAAAGATGTTTTTTGTTTTTGAAAGAGCAAGTACCCAGGAGAAATCTACCTACTCTAAGGAATTAGGCTGTGTAAGAGTCCTTTAGACAGTACTATCCCACTATTGAGAAGTAGGTAGCACCGTCGTTGGAGTTATTCGGGTCAATTCGATTATAGGGACATGTGGTCACCAAAGCAATAGTAGGACACCTTAGAAGTAACCCTAATGTCCTAGATCCTTTTTTATCCGAGGCAACCGTTTCGAGGCAACTGGATCTTAGACAGGAGGGCGACCTCTAAAACAACCTATACTTGACGACCACGTTCGAGGCAACCAGTGAGGCGTACCCTAAGAGTGGCATGTGCTTGTGTGTTTTTTCAGTTAATGTTTATCTTGTACATGTCATTTGTGAGCTACGGATTGGTTTTATTTGTCATTCAGTCTTGCATGCGTATTAACAGTTAAGAGTGCGGAAATATGAATCTACGCTATTACAAGGCGCGGGTCTATACATCGCCAAAAACAAAAACCCGTTTTGAAATAAAGTGCGGAAAGTAAAGAAAGCGTTAAATCCTAATTACTATTACATCCTTTGAGCAGATACATAAATAATCAAGAATAATGATAATGCGCGAAAGAAATTAAATCAGGCCGTCCTAGGGTTTTGACCCTTTTGAGAAATAAAGAAATTTTTAGTCCCTTTTTTTGCAATTAATTAAACATTAAACCTAGTACTAATTAATTATTTAATTAAAAAAGAAAAAAATGTTTTTTTGTGTTTTATGTTTTTTTAATAAAAATAAAGAAGTTAAAAGTCAAAAGAAACCCTAATTCTAAGTTTATTTTATTAAAAAAAGAATCAAAATTGAACCTAATTTAAACTAATTAATTTGTTAGTATTTTATTTACAAGAAAAAGTCCTTTTTTATGTTTTTATGTTTTTTTTTATGAAAATAAAAAGAAAAAAGAATTAAAAAGTTAGTAAACAAAACCCTAATTCTATACTAATTTTATTTATTGTAAAAAGAAATTATAATTACCTAATTAAACTAATGAATTTGTTTACATTTTATTCACAAAAATAATAGTTAATAGTAAAATTAGTAATTAATAAAATATTTACAATTTTTTTTATCTCTGAATTTATTATAAAAAATTATTTTATTGGTTAATAATAATAATAATAATTAAAAAAAAGAAATTATAAGGAAAAGAAAATAAAAAAGTAACAAAACCATGGGGGGTGATGACCCATTAAGGAGGTGTTAACTAGAAATTTTAGGCCCATGAACATTCAAGCCTTGTTGACCTTCCTGGTTGTCCACGTCTGCGTTGACTCATGAACACCATGGTCTTCATTCTTTGGCCATTGGATTGATAGTGGTGGCCACATGGCATGCATCAGGATGAGGCATATGGTGGGATACATTTAGGAAGCCTGCGTGTGATTGAGTTAGAAAAAATATGAACAAGCATTTGGGGGGACCTGGGAATCGAACCCAGGTCCCGATGATCATTTGCCAGCACCTGTACCACTG